CAGCTGCCTGGATTGACGGTGGTTTGATAACACCTGATGAAGTTCACCTGGTGATAGATCATAACAAAGTAAGGAGAGCTCAGGAGAAACTTGTCAGTAACCTAGAAGAGGAGTTTGATAAGGGGATAAGAGAAAATGGAATCAATTGTTTGTTCTTTGATGGGAGAAGAGATGACACTAAAGTGTTCATGAAAGTTGGAGATTCTGGCGATAAGCTCTCGTGAATACAGGGTAGAAAAAAAGGTTAGTGTGTCACCTTAACTATCGTGGAATCGGTGGTAGTGGTGAGTCTGGGTACAGTATGTGGTGATCCTGGTACGTGTGGTGGTCACAGGTGCGTTATGTGGTGAGGTCATGGGTGCGGTGTGTTTGAGTCATGGGTGCAGTGTGTGGTGAGTCACAGGTACAGTATGTGGTGAGTCACAGGTGCAGTGTGAGTGATTGAGTCTGGGTGCAGTATGTGGTGGAGTCACAGGTACAGTGTGTGGTGAGTCTGGTGCAGTGTGTGGGTAGTCACCAGGTACAGTATGTGGTGAGTCTCTGGTACGGTGTGTGTTGAGTCACAGGTGCAGTGCTCATGGTGAGAGTCTGGAGTTCGGTATGTGGTGGAGTCACAGGTACAGTGTGTGGTGAGTCTCAGGTACAGTATGTGGTGAGTCACAGGTACGGTATGTGGTGAGTCTTGGTACGGTGTGTGGTGAGTCACAGGTACGGTATCAGTGGTGTGAGTCACAGGTACGCAGTATGTGGTGAGTCACAGGTACAGTATGTGGTAGTCTTGGGTACAGTGTGTGGTGAGTCACAGGTACAGTGTGTGGTGAGTCTGGGTACAGTATGTGTGGTGAGTCTGAGTACAGTGTGTGGTGAGTCTGGGTACAGTATGTGGTGAGTCACAGGTACAGTGTGTGGTGAGTCTGGGTACAGTGTGTGGTGAGTCCTGGGTACAGTATGTGGTGAGTCCTGAGGTACAGTATGTGGTGAGTCACAGGTACAGTGTGTGGTGAGTCACAGGTACAGTGTGTGTCTGGGTTCAGTATGTGGTGAGTCACAGGTACAGTGTGGTGAGTCAGGAATTTTGTGTATGGTGAGTCTGGGTACAGTGTGTTGAGTCCTGAGTACAGTATGTGGTGAGTCTGAGTACAGTATGTATATGAGTCTGGGTACAGTATGTGGTGAGTCACAGGTACAGTGTGTGGTGAGTCACAGGTACAGTGTGGTGAGTCACAGGTACAGTGTGGTGAGTCTGGGTACAGTGTGTGGTGAGTCACCAGGTACAGTATGTGGTGAGTCCACAGGTGCAGTATGTGTGAGTCACATGTGCGGTGTGGTGAGTCTGGGTGGGTGTGGTGAGTCACAGGTGTGTAGTATGTGTGAGTCTACATGTGCAGTATGTGGTGGTCCTGGTACCATTGTGTGGTAGTCAGGTGCAATGTGGTGAGTCACATGTACGGTGTGTGGTGAGTCTGGGTACAGTGTGTGGTGAGTCCTGGTTGCAGTATGTGGTGAGTCTGGTGCAGTATGTGGTGAGTCACAGGTACAGTATGTGGTGAGTCCACAGGTACAGTATGTGGTGAGTCACAGGTACAGTATGTGGTGAGTCACAGGTACAGTGTGGTGAGGTCACAGGTACAGTATGTGGTGAGTCTGAGTACAGTGTGTGGTGAGTCACAGGTACAGTATGTGGTGAGTCACAGGTACTGCGGTATGTGGTGAGTCCTGGGTGCATGTTGTGTGGTGAGTCTGGTACAGTATGTGGTGAGTCACAGGTACTGTTGTGTGTTGAGTCACAGGTACAGTGTGGTGAGTCTGACAGGTACAGTGTGTGGTGAGTCACAGGTACAGTGATGAGTCAAGTTTGTGGTATGTGGTGAGTCACAGGTACAGTATGTGGTTGAGTCACAGGTACAGTATGTGGTGAGTCCCACAGGTACAGTGTGGTGAGTCACAGGTACAGTATGTGGTGAGTCACAGGTACAGTATGGTGAGTCACAGGTACAGTATGTGGGTGGTCTGGGTACAGTATGTGGTGAGTCACAGGTACAGTATGTGGTGAGTCACAGGTACAGTATGTGGTGAGTCACAGGTACTAATAAGACGTCATCTGGACAGCAGACACCGGCCCCTCCTACTCTGTGTCTGGCGTCCACCTTTTTTATTTCTCTGTGACAAAATTCAGTCATAATCTCATCGAATATCTCCTTAGAACAAAATAATAGCATTTTATGCATTTTACATATTTACCCTCGGAATATAAGTGTCTAGAGCCATTAGAAGAACACCGAAAAAAAATAAAATATTTACACTATTATCCGCCGAACTTTAGTTTTTCCACACACACCACAGAGAACATTCATTCTATACGCTTTAATTTTATTGGTCGTTCTCTACGCGATGTTAAAGTGTCCCAGGTAGCTACAGTATTTATGAAAGAACCTTATTTAAATAGCATTATGCATCCCTTCTATTTCTCTCACTTGGCGTGCGGGTATGAGGACGCTATCTAACTAAAGCTGCACTCAACGCCCAGCAACACACTGACTTAGGTGCTCAAGACGGCACGTTGTTTCACTCTTCTATACCTCAACACGGAAGGAATACTTGGGGCCATTTCTAAGTCAAGATGTGGTGAGGTATGTGGACGATATAGGAGGGACGAAACACAGGGAGGGGGCAGGGGTGGGGGAGGGGGGGCGAGGTGAGGCAGGGGTGTGGAGGGTAGGGGTGTGGAGGGGGGAGTTGGGGGTGTGGAGGGGCAGGGGTGTGGGGAGGGGGCAGGGGTGTGGAGGTTAGGGTGTGGAGGGGGTAGGGTGTGGAGGGGAAGGTGTGGAGGGTAGGGGTGAGAGGGCAGGGCGAGGAGGGGTAGGGCGGAGGGGAGGGGTGTGGAGGGGCAGGGCGAGGAGGGCAGGGTGGGGAGGGGGCAGGGCGAGGAGGGTGGGGTGGAGGTGGGGTGTGGAGGGGCAGGGGTGTGGAGGGGTAGGGTGTGGAGGGCAGGTGTGGAGGGGGCAGGGCAGGGAGGAGGTGAGGGGTGTGGGAGGGTGGGGCGTGGAGGTGCATGGTGTGGAGGGGCAGGGGTGTGGATGGGCAGGGTGTGGGGGGCAGGGCGAGGAGGGGCAGGGGGTGTGGAGGGGCAGGGGTGTGTGGAGGGCAGGGGTGTGGAGGGGGGGGTGTGGAGGGGGTGGGGTGGGGGGGCAGGGGCGAGGAGGGGCAGGGGCAGGAGGGGGTAGGGGCGAGGAGGGGCAGGGGTGTGGAGGGTGGGGCGTGGAGGGGGGAGTGGGGCGGGAGGGGCAGGGGTGTGGAGGGTTAGGGTGTGGAGGGCAGGGTGTGGAGGGGTAGGGGCGTGGAGGGGTGGGCGAGGAGGGGCAGGGTGGGGAGGGGCAGGGCGAGGAGGGGTAGGGTGTGGAGGGGTAGGGTGTGGAGGGGCAGGTGGAGGGGCAGGGCGAGGAGGGGCAGGGTGGAGGGGTAGGAGGGAGGGGCAGGGTAGGAGGGGCAGGGCGAGGAGGGGCAGGGTGTGGAGGGCTAGGGCGAGGAGGGGTAGGGTGAGGAGGGGCAGGGAGTGGTAAGAAAAAGTGAGAAGAGGCAGGGAAAGGTAGAGAGAGGGGAGGAATGGAGAGGGTAGGGGAGAGGATGGTAGAGTACTCCATATGGTTCAGGTCGAGGTGTCACGTGACGAGTGTAAGTGTAAGGAACACAAATCACCAACCTGTCTAGGTGGCACTGACAGCCGGCACCCTTCACCTACCTCCCCCGTCTACCACCGTTTCCCCTCAGGCCCTCCCAGCCACCGTCGCCATAGTTCCCCTCCATCCTCTTGTGCAGCACCCAAGGGAAGGAAGCCTGGCTGCCTCATCGCCTTCCCCAGAGTGTTGACAACATCTACACCTTCACCGCAGAGTTTCCCTCAACCCATAGTAACTTACGCTCCTCCACCGAGTCAGCATTTAACTGAATTTATTTGTTGGTGTTTTCTGGACCAGACCTAGGCACTGTAGTTTAAACTGGGATTAGTTTGGGCCTTTTTTCACGTAAAAATTTAAGTATAAGATGAGGAGTTTTGGCAAATCCGCAAATGTACACCTTGAGGGACAGCACAAGCCGTGGACGAGTGCTCAGGTATGGAGACGAGCCGCCAAAACATGAGGTGGAGACATGTTGATCTCACCTTACATTTTAAGGTTTCTTCTAGTGAAACTATCCCTGTGTCTTACTGGCTCACTTCGAAAGTTTGAAATATTTATCTGGTAGTTTAAGAGAGGAGTGAGGGTCACGTGCAGTACACGCTCGTCACCCACGATGTTATAGCGACACTGAAACCAAATTTTGTCAAGGTCCGTCTCATTGACAAAATCCTTATAAAATTTTCTACAATCGAAAAAGTGATATTTTTTTTATTTGCCTTAAGTTAACCTGACCTTAATTTAACCCAGCATTACAAGTGACGGTCTGGGATACTGTATGAGTTCACATCGTTCACCTGTCGTATAAAGGTGTGCCAGGTGTCTCCTTAGTTTACTTAGAGATCTCCGAACAACAGCCAGATAAGATAAGAGAGCTGATGAATGACAGACGGCCCTTGTACTAGTGAAGAACACACAATGATCTCTCAACATGTAATCAGTCAAGAGGTTTCGGTGTAAAGATTTTATTACCGTACGCGATGTTCTCCCACGAGCGGACACTTGCCTCTTTATTTACATACAAGACATATCCATAATTCACTACCTCAACCAACGTCACCACGGCTGTCTCTTCTATCAAATATACCCGGTACTACCACCTCTTCCAGTAAGTATAGTTAATGTCATCGCTCCAATAAGTATCTTTAAGGAAGAGTCCGATGAATGTCAGAATAAACACCGCGACTCCTATTGTCTCAGTATGGTTATCAAAATCTTTCATCTGCTGTGTCGTCTTATCTCACGTCAAAATAGTAAATATACTTTTTTTTTTGGTGCGAGTGACTTCTTATTACACAAGTCCAATTTTGTGTCTTTGTCAATGAGGATGAGCTGCTACCAAGTCCACTACCCGCGGCTATTACTCCACCCTCTACCCACGCCTCCCCCTGTACCTGCGCCTCCACGACCCCATCCCTTACGTGCCCCCCAGTCCCCACGCCTCCCCCTGTACCTGCGCCTCCACGATCCCATCCCTTACGTGCCCCAGTACCCGCCTCCCCTGTACCTGCGCCTCCACGATCCCATCCCTACGTGCCCCACCCAGTACCCACGCCTCCCCTGTACCTGCGCCTCCACGATCCATCCCCTACGTGCCCCCCCAGTGCCCACGCCTCCCCTGTACCTGCGCCTCCACGATCCCATCCCTACGTGCCCCCCAGTGCCCACGCCTCCACCCGATACTATAACACCTAGATACGGCAGGTGTGTGTGTGACCCTCAAGGCCTCACTCATGCCACTCGAGCCACACAGTATCTAGGTGACCCAAGGTATTGCCTGATAACTTTGATAGCTGGCGGCCACTTGTTCCACGCCCCCCCTCCCTCACAGCCCGCACCAGGTTCCACACACAGTACTACACTCAGCACCTATTGTATGACTCAACACCATTTATAAACACAGTAATAAGTTAGGTTTGGGATCATATATGGAGGTGATATGTTCTAATGTGTAGCATGAAACAAGTTTATCAACAACACGAGTGCTCTATAAGTATGTTAAGCTGTACTCGCACCAAAGACATCCATCAGTAAGGTCAGGTGAGACTAAATGTGGGTGACTAAACGCAACCAATAATAAAGTTTACAGTAAAGGATTATTGTATAGGAATAACATTGTATTTATGAGTAAGTAACAATGTGTGATTACTCTTATGGTGATGAAAGACCCACCTCACAACACAGGGTCAGTCACTACACCAAGTCATCCACACTGATTACGGTATCGTACTAAGTGACGGGATTCTGATAAAACTCCTGACGCGTATCTTTACTTTACTGATAATTAATATTAAACCAACATTAACTGACTGGAGAACACTTGAAGGTTAACACAGTAATTATCTTCATTCTCAAACAGTCTATGAAGAACCCATAAGACTCACTTCACAGTATATAACACCCTAGTCCTAACTAACTGTATTTAAATAATACCTTTTTTGCCATCACTAAACAGTTAACAATAGACAAAACAAGAGCACAATAACCAAACCTCTACTTCAAAAAAAAAAGTCAAGTGACAATTATCAAACAAGGAATAACTCAACATCAACTCATAACTTTGTATATATACGTCACGGCCACATAACAATAATAATAAAAATAGTAAAAATAATAAAAGTAATAGAACAAAATATATACTAATAATACTAATAATAATAGCCTCACGCCCCCACTCACCACTCAGCCCTACACCATTACCACCAACATTCCAAACGGTGGGCCCCGGGACGCTCGACGGGATCCTCTCACAGGGGGCCCAGTGCTCCACCCTCGTCGCAAAAGGCTAATAACAATTACAGGAGTGTTTTTCTTGGCTCGTCTCACCCATGACTAATGCCCTACCATGATACCTGTGACTAATGTACGCCCTCTCTACTTAGTGTATGTGCGTGTGAATCCGTGGTACCACACACAGAGAGTGAGAGAGAGACCTGTGATTTATGTACACCTTCTTCCTTCTCTACTTAAGTGTGTGCATATGTGTTAATCAGTAGTACCCACGTATACACACGCACAGAGAGAGAGAGAGAGAGAGAGAGAGACGTACCTACGCCAAGAACATAAGGAGTCTGCAATATGCCGGTTGGTCTGTGCATGGCAGCTCCTGTCGAGAGTTACTACCACTCTCTATCATCCATGAATCTATCTAGCCTCCTTTTGAAACTTTCCAGCGTTCCAGCACTTACTACAAAGTTGCTAAGCTTGTTCCACTCGTCCACCACCCTATTTGTGAACCAGTTCCTTCCTATCTCCCTCCTAAACCTAAAGTTATCCAATTGAAATCCGTTGCTCCGAGTCCTATTCTGCTCGAATATTTTAAGAACTTTATATATATCCCCTTTATTGATTCCTTTCACCCATTTAAATACTTCTATCATATCTCCCCGCACTCTTTGTCTTTCTAGGGAATGCAAGTTTCGTTTCAAATGGATGCAAGAAACTGTTTTCATTAAATTTTCAACAGTTCATTCACAAAACCCTATCGATCATCACACAACCATCCACGTCTTGCCACAAACATCAACCATCCATTCACAAGCAACACTTTTAATTCAACATAATATATTGTCTTGCATTTCTGGGTACACCTCTCCCACCCCCCTCTCTCTCTCCCACCCCCGCTGAGTCAATTTAATATACAGGATGGTACTGGCCTCTAGGAGAACACCTCAGAATGTGTCACTGGGATAATGTTGAGGGTACACCTGGATGGGGGGAGGACACTAGACGTACACACACACACACACCTGGTTGAGTCTTGAGAGCTGTGAGGAGGAAGAGGTGGGGGGAGAAGAGCGTGGCCCAGCATGATATTGATGGCGCTGATCAACACGATGGTTGGTTGGATGATTGACAGGTGTATGGATGGATGATTGATTGATGGATGATTGATGGAAGATAGATAGATGGAAAGATGGATGGATAGGTGAATGAATGAATAGATGGATGTGTGTGTAAACCTTTCATCGATTACCTCTCCCAAAAATATTAATCTCACATACATTCTAATTAAAATTCTCAAAGTGTGCTTCTGTGTTTATGACTAAGCTTTAATGTTTTATAAGCTTCAATTTTTTTTTTAATATTATCACTAAGAGAAATATAATAAGATAAGCACCTTTAAGAACGCCAGCCGTCATGTTTAATTATGGACAAAAACTAGTGTGTGCCATAAGAGCTGAGGCCGTCCAAGTGGGTTGTGTTCCCTATAGAGGCGAGTGAAGTGTGAACACGGTACACGCCTCTTACCTCTTCCACACGGGCCCCGGGGAGAAAAGGTACAAAATAGAGCCTTATAGAACAATGTGTACGGGTTGACCATGGAAAACTGAGACTGTTTTACCCGAGATTATGCTTTTATCTTAAACTTCATTCACTTGAAGGTGTATGTTCGTTGTAACCAGGTGATAATAGCTGATAATTTTAACCCTAGGAAAATCACTATTCAAAAACGCCCGCGACCTCCCCGGGTGAGGGACGTCAGCCATATATGGAACTGGCATTCCCTCTCTGGATACTGTGGAGCTGGGACATATAACTGGAGGGCCGGGCGTCTCCGGTGGCTTCAGTCGGTCTAATGCCCAGCTCATTCATGAACTCAGGACTTGGACGACGCAAGATCCTGGAGGTTCTAAACCCATCAGTATAAAACTCTAGGAATTATTAAATCATATCTTTGAATGCCAAGTTCAGACAATGTTCCTTTAACTTTATGGATGTCTCAAATGTCCTCAACTAAGGATTATTCCTCAACTAAATTGTCTCGTTCATCCAAGTAGACTGATGGCCTCAGGACTGACAACTCTTCAGATAAGACAAGACAGGGCGGATCTCATGAGGTAATTAAAAACCTGAAAAGGACGGAAGGCGTAAACTCTTAAGATGTCATGCAGCAGAAACACAAGAAGTCACAGCTTCAAGCTCGTTAAGTTGTCATGTTGTACTAATATATGGAAGTACAGTACTTCTTCACACCGAGGGTGGTAGACTTATGGGGCAAGATACCAGCTACAGCTGTGGAAGCGAGAACAATAATGAGCTTCAGAGTAGCCCTGGATAAGACTATAAAGAACAATAGAGGGATCCTTCATAGACCATTCTCCTCCTTTCCCCGCCATGACAACCTCTGGTTGCGGTGGAAAATAAGTAAAGACGTTGAATAAAAACATTCTTAGGACTCTCCCTTTAGCTTGCCGCCCTCGCCGCATCTGTGTAGTCAAACACCAGATGTTTGTCGACTTTCCAGGGTAAAGTCAGCGTCACAGTCGTCGGCTAGCACCTCATTTGTACACACAATGAGACGCCTCCATCATCGCCTCCCTCGCAGAGCACCGCACTTTGTGTTGTCTTATCATCTTTTTCTTTCGCGCAGAAGTGTGTGTTGGGAAGGTCTCCGTCCTCCTAGTCTACCCTCATTAACCACTTACTAAGTATAAAAATTGACTTACCAACTACTTTTAATAAAAATATATACTTATGACGCATAAATATAAAACATGATACAGTAACTGTAGTAATATGTTTCAATTTTATTTGTATTTCAGTGGCTGCCTTCATCCCAGCTCAGACCGGCCCACTTTACACACATGATGTATGAGCCTGTAAACACACGGCTGTTATTAATAAACAAAATAAATAAGTTTTTTAACAAGCAAATACAACCAAGCAGACGGTAAACACAAGTGTCATATACGTCTATTAACAAGTAAATATAACCATAACAACGTCAACCTCTCTTTTTAATAACAACATAAACAATACCTAACAAACACCACCAAACACAAACGTCGCAGTAATAAATAATAATGGACCTGTACGACTTGGTCCCATTTGATCCATGTCACAGTGAGGACAGGTTGCCCCATTCACTTCAAAATGTACGGCACAACACATCAAAGGTGGGAAGGGAAGGTCTTGGCTTACCACCACATAAACACGGTCCTCGCTCGCTGGCTCTTCCCGCCGCCACAACCCGCACATCAAAATTCAAACGTTTTTCACTTTTTTTTCCTTTGACAGTCTCGAGTTTTTTATGACCTTACCTCTGTCTGTCTGTCTGTCTGTCTGTCCTTTTTTCAGACTTATGGAGTGTACGACGCCATTTACTATGACCTTCTTGCCCTGATCTTTTTTCAGCAATATCGCCTTTAACACATGGAACTCTTCACTTTTCGAAGCTTTGGAGAAGTCTCGAAGCAAGTTTCCTGGTGGGAATTATTAGCTAGTAGTACTCGAAATATCGAAACTTCGAGATCTCTCCAGAGCTTCGACAAGGTGGTATTCCTGAAACAAGATCAGGGCAAGAAGGTCATCGTAAATGGCATCCTACACCCCATGACTGTTCTTGAATACGGTCCATAGTTATATATACTCATCTCTCTCTGACCGTGATGTTGGTGTAGGGTGAGTCAGGTAACCACTGTTCCACCATCATTAAGTCGGGCAGGCAAACAATGACCAAACTATTATTACCTTCACTAACATTAACCACACTATTATTACCTTCACTAACATTAACCAAACTATTATTACCTTCACTAACATTAACCACACTATTATTACCTTCACTAACATTAACCAAACTATTATTACCTTCACTAACATTAACCAAACTATTATTACCTTCACTAGCATTAACCAAACTATTATTACCTTCACTAACATTAACCAAACTATTATTACCTTCACTAACA